CCTACACGCCTCCCTCCGTTCCCAAGGATGCAGTGTCCTGGGACCTTCCTATCCCCTGAAGACAAAAACCCACCTGGTTTTGCATGCAAGGCCCATTTCCCAAAGTAATTAAAATGATTTCATTAGTGTTGTGAGGCCCCAGGACTTTCTCCCACCATTGTCACCTCAAAGCCTTACCTGAGCTCAGGTTTCCGTGCTCTGGCTGGTGGAGCGGTGGCGATGGGCTGGCGGCACCAAAGCCGGGCTGTGCTCAGCAGTCTGTCCTGGCATGGCACGGCTCCATGCCACCCTTGCTGCCTCCACTGACACCTTCACCCCCTTCCCAGCATTTCTTGTTCCAGTGTGTCCCATTTTAAGCCCCTTTTTGGCAACGTCCTGTGCCACATCTGGGTAAACGTTTTACGTAATTGCCTTCTGCAAACACTTTACAGCAGAAAGGCAGATGAGGGATCACACAGACCCCCAACAGCCCTTTCTCTCATCTGCCTCTGTTCAGCCCCTCAACGTTCATGCAAGAGATGACATGAGAAAATCAGACATGGTCAAGCAGCTTTGGCTTCATGGGGTCATGGTCCCTCCCAGCGTCTCTGCAGCTCATTGCTGGAGCTCCAAGCTCCCAAATCAGAAGAAGCTGGAAGAGTGTTGGGCTCTTGGTAGTGGTCTCCCCAAAGTGCCACTGAGGACAAGGAGCAATCTGCTCTCTGCCCGTTCTGGCCAGATCAAGGGGGAATGGGCTTAAGGTGTAGCCAAAAGGATGGGGGTTAATTATTGGGAAAACCTTTCTAACAGCAAGGCTTGTTGGGGCAGGAATGGGAGATGGCCACCATCCCTCCCGCACTGTCCTCTTCCATCCAAGTGCAAAAGCCAAGCTGGCGGCAAGGACAAGGCGTCACTCGCTCACGGGCACAACTGAACAGTGCCAACACTACCGAGGCACAAAATCTGAGGTTTTCCAAGCTGAAAAGAAGATTTAAGCATGTAGTTTCTTTGGTATTTCAAGGAGAGTTAAGGTTGGGCTCATCTGTACATGCCTTTGACAAGTATAAATACCACTTAAGAGTATGATTTTAAAAAATCAATATAATTATATTGCTATTGTCTCTTATACAGTCACATTTAGACTAGTATACAGCAGCTTTATAGTGCTACAGATTGTTCTTCCGTATTGAACTAGCTATAGCAATATAAAGCACCTTCATACAAATGAGTTTCTACAACCGCCACCAAGTCACGGTCATTAAATCAGTATAGCTTCGGTGTGTACACAAGCCTAACTATCATACGTGCCTTTAAAGAACTCTTCCCAGCACACTGAACTCAGCTACATAGGCATACTTTCCCAAAAGTGCTTTACTTCCACGGATTTCTGAGGGTCCGAATCCCTCGATGCACACCTAGTAAAACTATTTAGGGATCTGAGACTGTAATTGATTTTTTTGATCTGGGCCATAAGTATTTTTGAAAATCCCTCCACGTACAAACAATGGCTTTTAAAAAGAGGTCATGCAATCAAATTGCTTTGAACTCTAATAACATTTAAGCCTTTAAACTCTTTAGGCTTATTTTAAAATCCAGCCATGAAGTTTAGATTATCTTAACCTAAGAAGAATTGGAAGTAAACTATTGAAAACTGCACCCCGCCTAGGCCTACAGTACTGAGCATGTGTATTAGAAGGGGAAAGCAAAAGTAGCTATAAATAAAAAAAAAAGTGACCTATAGAGTTTGATTTTTTTTTTCGAAGCAGGAAAATCAATACATTAACGATGAGAAACTGATTAGGTGTATTAAAATTCTCCTGGTTTCAATAATCAAATGTGCCATTAGGCACTGATGAAGCTTAGTCTTACATGCCATGCAATGTTTAGATTTTAGAACATCTGTTTTAAGAGGGGAAAAGAAAACCCTTTATAAAGCATCCTATCAACGTCAAGTGCCAAATTCATCATAAGGAAGAAATTTTTTACGCTGAGGGTGGTGAGACACTGGCCCAGGTTGCCCAGAGAGGTGGTGGATGCCCCATCCCTGGAAACATTCCAGGTCAGGTTGGACGGGGCTCTGAGCAACCTGGTCTAGTTGAAGATGTCCCTGCCCACGGCAGGGGGGTTGGGCTAGATGGCCTTTAGAGGTCCCTTCCAACCCAAACTATTCTATGATCCTACGAACTTTGAGCAGACAGACACATCTCCTTCACCCCCCCATTTGCAGCAGTGCACGGGTGCCCCTCGGTCAACAGGCAGTGGGTCTGCTGCGGGTTTGCACAGCACCTTGCCGAGCTCAGCCCCACAAACCAGGCACCGCAGCCCTGGTGCACAGCAACCACCGTGAGCTTTGGGTACAGGGGTGCTGAGCACAAGTATTGCACTTATTCTGCAAAAATCAGGGTTTTTTTCCACTGATAGTAGTGACATGCTTTGGCACAAGCTTGTAGAGCCCAATTCAGAAAGACAGCTGAGCATGAGACCTGCCTATAGCCCGCTGCAGCGGCAGCTTTCAGCCAAACCCAAACTGTGGGAAGGCTTTTTGCACCCTGCTTCAACCGGCCACACCTGGAAAATTTCAGATAAACGGGTTTTTCTTTACCAGTGCAGTTTGGCAAGACAAAAACCGGCCCCTCTGCTGCTGTGATTCGCATCTGTGCGATTTCTGGAAGGGCAAGAACCAGGCTGCTGCATCCACGCTGTAGTTGACGCTGATTTCGTGCTGTGGGGAATTTAATCAACACCTAAGGAAATGCTGCTACCCAGTAATTTACACAGTTAAAAACACCACTGTGCCACGGAGATCAGTGTATGAGACTCCTTTACATGGTATTCGGGGTGGTCTTTGGGGTACAGCACTAAGAAGTTAAATTTCCAGCAAAGATTTGGCCATTCCTACCTTGCATGGAGTTATTTTGACTAACACTGATCCTTAGCCTCCTCGGTTCTCCCGCATACACACTAGCATACACAATGTTAGGTCTCCAGATTAGGAAAAAAAAAAATTGCCCATTTTCTTAACCATTAAAAAAAAATCTTGTTCGTATATAATGGTTTCTGGGTTTTCTCTTCTCCCTGCTTGGTGATACTGTCATCCTTCTCCCTTTGGTGCTATTCCAGTATGAAACAGACTGATTTTAATTTAATTTAAGAATGAAAAAGCACACATTTAATAAAGTTTACGGGTACTGAGAGGCTGTGCTCTCTTTTTGCTGGCGGCAGCAACCT